GCCTTATAGTGTCGGAAAATGGCTGAGGCTAAATACAGCATTTCTAGTAGCGACACTTTATGTGGTTAATCGATAAGGGGGACAAGACCAATTTGTGGTGTGATAAGTAGTGTGGTCATATCATCACGAATCTTCTTCATGTCTCAGACAATAGGCAGCACCTGCTGCAGGCGAGAATCAACTCTATTTTGAGAGGTAACTCTATCATTTCACCTGATACTCTAATTTGTATTTGTCCCGACCTTCCTTTGTTGGTTTCCAACATACATGTCAATTGTTTGAATGAGGATAAATTGTTTTGGATGAAGTCCGATAGCGGTGATATTAGTGTTAGGATGCTTACATTCACTATCAGAATTGCAGTATAAGTAGTGTTTGGGGTAAATTGCTTTGGCATCCCAATATTCCTCCCTCTCACTCTATTTTGTTTTAGAGATTAACAAAGAATAGGTTGCCTACATATGATGTGCTACTTAAATATGGTGTGACTGGACCTTCTGTTTGTAGCCTCTGTGTTCGTAGTGATGAATCGGTTTCACACCTCTTTTTTAGCCGTGCGTACTCAAAGCAGGTGTGAAATTAGATTTGTAACATGCTAAATGTGATAAAGGGTATAGAAAATATGGATGTTTGTTTATTAGTTTTGAACAACATTGTTTCGGCTCAATGCAATGCAATTTTTCATGTTGTTGTATCACAGTAGTTATCGTCATTTGGCGTGCTCGTAACCATATGCGGTTTCAAAACAATCTTATTCCTTGGAGAACAACATGATCTTTCATTTACTCACTTGTTCATATAGCTGGTAATGCATCAAATGGATCTTCTCATTTGGCTATTGGTGATTTTAAATTTCTTAAAAAGTTCTCCATTTCTATTAATCAACCTAAACATATGTTCTGTTCAGAAATTATTTGGAGTCCTCCATGTAGGGGGTGGGTGAAGGTTAATGTTGACGGAGCTTTCGGTGGCGTCCCGATTCGAGCAGCTTGTGGGGGTATATTCAGGGTTCATTTAGGAAATCATGTCGGGAGTTTAGCTTGTAATTTATGCAATGTGAATGCCCTTTTTGTAGAACTTATGGGAGCAAACTTGGTTATTGGGAAAGCATTTATGCATGATTGGACCAATATTTGCCTTGAGTCGGATTCTAAATTAGTTATGTTGGCATTCAGTAAACCTTATGTGGTGCCATGGAGAATTAGGAACAGATGGGACAAGTGAACACAGGTTCTTGGTAGTTTTAACTTCTTAGCTACTCATATTCATAGGAAAAGTAATCATTGTGATGATAAGTTGGCTAACTTAGCTTTAGACATCTCTAACTTTACTTGGTGGAAGCATGTTCATATGGATATTCAACCGAATTGTTTTAGAAATCGGTTAGAATTGTCAAACTTTAGGATCAGATAGGTTTGAGGTTTGATTTTTATGTCCCCCTCATTTTTCTACCTACTTCTTTTTTAATATATTTTTTTGGGGCTAATGCTCAATTTATAAATAAAAAATAACAAGTTGCATTAATAATCCATAACAAATGAGCTCTTTAATTAGGGTTGGACAGAATAATAAAGAGAATTTCTTAAAGCACCCTAGATGTCTCTTAGGCACCTCGCGAAATTTCAAAAGTGTCCATAAATTTCGGAGATATATCTCCGAAAGCATCCAATACACGCATTTTATTTGTTTTTGAGTCACAATCCAATTTTACGAATAAATTTATTTCGAAAATGCATCTCTAAAAAATTTCCAAAATGTATTTTCGGAAACTAAACAAAGTGCTTTTTGAATGGCTGGTTGTTGAGGTTGAGCCTCTCTATACACAAAACAAGTCAGGTTGTTAAGCACAATTACTGAAAACATAACACGTATAGTGGTGCAAGACATGCGACCAAATATTCACTGTTCAGAAGATTGATTATGAAATTCAATTTCCATAAAATTGATAGTCAAATTATCTTGAAGCAAAACGGGGGGAAATATACCATGTAAGAACAGTTGAACATACTAAAACCCAACAAGATAACAAGTGAAAAGGGATATACCATATTCAGATTTAACATAATATAAGCCAAGTAATAACAAGCTATAACAAAGGGGGGAAATAATCAAATTAGTTCTGTATTCTAAAAACCCTTGAAATATATTATTCTTGCGAGTGTTGATAAAACAATTTTATGAGAACAGTCCATTGAGAAATCAGGAAGAGATTAGAAAATTCAAAACCTTAAACTTCTTTAGCCACCATATTTTGAAATACTCTATTCATAAATTATCAGGATTAACCACACAAACATCACCCTACAAAGTATGGGTTGATTCTCAGTATCTCTTAGACTTCCCAAGTCCTCAAATAAAGAAACTCACCTCACAATTAAGGTTATGGGTGCTGGCACTTGATTCATAATCTGAACATTATGCACCAAGCTTTGTATAGTTGTTGATCCCTTGATTGTTTCAGCAGCCAGTCATCCAAAAAGTATTTTTTTTTTAGTTTCCGAAAATACTTTTTTAGAAATTTTTCAGAGAAACATTTCTGAAATAAATTTATTTATAAAATTGAGTTGTGACTCAAAAACGAATGAAATGCGTGTATTGGGTGTCGTTCCGAGATATATCTCTTAAAATTAGGAATATTTTGAAATTTCGCGAGATACCTAAGAAACATCTAAAGTGCTTTAAGAAATTCTCATAATAAAAATCAACTCAATCCGACTTATCCATGTGATCCGCTAAGGTAAGGTTTGGGTGGGTTGGCCCTTATTTGTTCTTAAAATTAATTTGAGTCTTCTGACAACCCTCTAAAGGTCTTAAATATAATTGAAAAATATGAAATAAGTGATGAAATTGTTTCAAGTACTAAAAAGTGTCTCTTTTTTTTAAATATTAGTTTAAATATTATTTGTTGAAATTAAGCCTCATTTAATAATGTGTAGTGTTTCATATACTTGTTACTATTGGAGCAATTGCTCTTGATAAAGTTGAGCCTCTTTATTCACTCTTAACACCACATATTACAAACGGTTTTGTTTTTTTAATTATATTTTATAATAATTTTTTATTTTTTTAATACAAATAAGCATATGTCATAGCTGTATTTTAAAAGGTGTAGGTAGAGGGGGCAAAATGGACGGCCCGCTCTATTTAAATTCACACCATTTAAACTCTTTCAAAAGTGGGGCGGGAGGGAGCAACTTAGACGTCCGAACTCAAAAATCAAGTCTGTCCCGTTTACTAACGAATTGGCGACCCGCCAATTTGTTTTACAATTTGATTTACTATATAATTTACAAAATTGTTAATTATTACAAAAGAGGCCAACAAATTTTAACAATGCATAATAAAACTTTAACAAATCTTAACGCAAATGTCATATTCTTCAATATAAACATACAATGTAACTATAATACCAAAAATTTAAAACAAACACACTAAAATCCCAAAAATCAAAATTTTATTATGATAATGAGAAACAAACTCATTTGTACAAAATATTATAGCTTTAGAACCCGACTCTAATGACAACGAGTAATAGAAAATAGAAAAGAATGTACTCCATATATTTTGCAATAAAGACTTTTCCTATTAAGAATTAAAATAAAAAACGAAGTAAAAATCAATTAATGTCTTTAAAATGAGGTGTTTGTTGTTATGTGAAAAATGAATATTAGAGTTTAAAAAAATGAGGGTTGTTTTAAAAGTATCTTTACTACCTACCATGTTAATATTGTTTTAATTCCAAATAAAATAAATAATTTTTTTAAATAAAAATCCCGTGGATAAAATTTGTCCCGCCTTCAGCCTATTTTAAAAGTGGGTTAGGCAGAACGGACCAACTTAAAACACTGGGCTAAAAACCTTATTTTAGTCTGTCAAAAATGGTGGGTTAAACGAGCAGGTCCGGCGAACCCAACCTATTTTGTTATCCATAGGTGTAAGTATACGGTGTATATGGTTTTTGGTGTTAGAATAGTAATCCTCAAAATATAATTATTTTTTTTGTTTAACACTACATGATTTTAACTATACTAATTTGAGGGTAAAAAAATGATACCATATACTAATTTGATTTTATAAAACTATATGCAGATGTGATTTTTTTTTCTTTTTTAATATTTTGGAGTTACTATGGGACTCAACAACACAAACCTATCTTTTTGAAGACTGTTAAAACTCATTTTGGAAACCAAAATTGTTTTCCATTTTACACAGCTTCTAATATAATTGAATCAATTAACTCAAAAATTTACTGAACTGGGATTCTGTGTTTTGGAATATTCTAATACTGAACTTGAATCAATTAATAATTTCATGTATCTTACTGAACTGGAATTTATATGTTATGGAACTGGAACTAGAATTAATTAATATTTCTGTATTATGGAGATGATTTATGTGTTTTATCTTACAACTGGAGTCAAGCCTATATTAATTTCTGTGTTCTGGAATCTTCTAACAAAACTGTTACATTTTCTAGTTTTGATATTATTATTATTACATAAAACAAAATTTTCCTTTCGGCAACAAACTACTTCACCAAGAACAAAGGATATTAACTTTGCTGAGATTACTTTAAAATATTTGAAGACTTAAATTGAGATGACTGTAATATTTACATGGATGTGTTATAGCTTTATGCTATTATTAGGTTAATGGAAATTATAGCTTGTTGTCTATTTTAAAAAAACTAAAATGCATGAAACTTTTATGTATAAAAGTAAGGATTAACTAACAGAACAAACCGATCTGTATTAATCGATAAACTGATTAAACAGAACTCGATCAAACTAAAATACAACAGCAATTAGAGTCTGTAAAAGCAAGTTTTTTAACCTAAATTGAACAATAGATTAAACACATTCAATACCATATATAAAGTAATCAACTTAGTAGCTTCAAATGTCATGTATCGAATTATTAGGAAACACAGCACAACCACCAGAGTATTATTATTGCCCTTCGATTCCTGACGGCTCCTCGCAAATCGTTTCCTACATATTTTAGCCAGGTGGCCAGTTCAACTGACGACCACCAATAAGATGCACATGAATGTGGTAAACTGATTGGCCTGTTAAAATCAAAATCAAAATCAAACTCAAGAATCAACAATGTGATGCTTGCTATTCATCAAAGTTCAAGTTCTTGTATGGATAATAACACTTACATCCTTGTGGTCCGTCATTAATTACAACCCGGTAGCCTTCGTTAAGACCTTCTTGCTTTGCAACCAGCTTTGCAGTGTAGAGAAGTCGGCCAAGAATGTCGAAGTGCCTCTCCTCAGCCTGAAGAAACATTGCACATAAAGTGAGCTTGATAATAACACTTCAGCGTTCAAAAACCATCACTGATTTTGTCACTGATTTTGCAGGATGAGACAAGCTGAACAATATTTGTATCCAAAACAACTTTAACAGTTTCGACAAACTGTACTAAACAAAATCTTTCATTTTCTTCGCATTCCAGACAAGAGCAAATTTACATATAAACTTATATCGATGAAATCAAAGAGGATAACAACTTTTTGTGCTTGATAACCGTGGGCATAGATGCATAATCATTTGCAAGATTTGTTTTAAAATGGAAGAGCTAAAAGAAATATTACCTTGGAGATACCAGTCAATCCGTCTCTGACTTTAGGAATGATTAGAATGTGCACCGGAGCTTGAGGATTTATGTCCCTAAAGGCAAGCACCTTAGAAATTCGGTAAAATCAAGTTACATCAATAAAAACGCGACAAAAAAAGGTAAAAATATAAATTATTCTGAAGACTTCAGTACAATGTAGTCAAGCAAGAGATCTTAAGTAAGACCAGTCGGCTTGTGAAAGATCGTAAAACTCAAACCGTTAGCACAACATGTAAGATCCTACCGAAAGGAAAAAGGGTAATTTCATACATATATACACAAAAACATGAAAATCATAATACAATCCCATAAAAAAGACTGAGCGCGTTTTTTTTTTTTTACGATCTTGCTTCAAAAAGCTCAATCTTGATCACGCCAGCAACAAAAAACGATCTTTCTCTTATCGTAGCACTCTTAGCCATCCTTAGCACGTAAGATCTTACGATTCAACACTCATTCTTGACTACACTACTTCGGTAAGATAAGGCTTCATCAAAGTTAACTTGTCTTCAAAATGAGCAAGGATTTGAATAAATTTAAAGTGAAGCATACTTTCAAATCATTAACATTTAAAAGTGATTATGCACTTGAAAATCTTTTGAAAGTTTGCATGTTTACGCACAAAAAACAGGAGATTAATAAGCAAACATAATAATACAAACAAAGGAATTTTCAACCAGATTTGTAATGTCTTCACAATGGATAGTTAAATTAAGTTCTTTAAGAAAACACCAATCATAACATCCACTATTTGTAATCACACATCATGAAGTACCTTATCATCCTCATAAACCACAGTAGAAGGAATCTCCTTGTTTATGATCTTGTCAAATCTGTGCATCACAAAAATATAACATTTAGCATAATCATCATAGGCACTTCAAAGATCTCAAAAAAACTAAAATATCTTCTTCTACATCCAACACAAGGAGGCCAAACCTAGGGTTCTAGACAAAAAGGTCTTGGGCGCGACATAGCGATTTTGGTACGGCTGAAACCGCACTGCAACCACATTTGACAGCAATTTTCCATAATATCAATAATCATGACACGTCAGACAACTTCGTCCATGTTTGTTCAAATCTACTATCTAAAAATTAAAATTTTATAATTCTAAATTCCAATTTTCTTTTAATGTAATGAAAAATCTTAACTTTAACCGTCTCTCAAATGTGTATTCCAAGCATCTCTCAAATCAATATTCATGTCGCAACAGCCGCAATGCATATCGCAACAACCGCAATTGCAACACATGCAACCGCAATTTAAAACCATGGCACCCACCATCACCACATCAAAAACCCTAATCAAAATTCCATCAAATGTAGATCCAAGCAAAATCAAACAAACAACCAGTTTTCAAAAGTGGATCCCATCATCATCAATCAATCACACATCTTCATAATATAAGATGCAGAATAGTACCAACAAGCACACAAATTCAAAAAAAAAAAAAAACATTTTTCCCAATATTGAGACCCAATTGCATGAAAATATAACCCTTTTAGGGTTTCTGAATCTACAAACAAAAACCCAAATAATCAAAACATGAAAAATCGGAACTTTATGAGAAATTGAAATACCCATCAAGAGAAAACCAACGCAGAAGATAAAAATGAGATTTTAAAAGAGAAGATTGGAGCATACATGGTGGGAGAATCGGAATCAGGAGGAATGGCAGAAAGGGCAGCTTCTTTCTCAGAAGCCATTGAAGTTGAATGAGTGAAGTGTGATGTCAAAACAGCAATTCTTTCGCTTGTGTTGTTGTTCTTCATATAGATTGAAAACGTGCTTATTCAGATAAGCTGTAATGACTTAAATGTCCATGCTTCCAAACGCACCGTATGGTTGTAGATCGCATTTGCAATACAATTTTATATTTTTTTTCTAATAAAGACTTAGATGTAATTAACTTGCCAATGCATATTTATTTTTGGCTTAATTCATTTTAGGAGACTATAACCTTTTTTTTGTGTAATAGAAAAACTTTTAGGAGACTAATATGTAAGGGACCATAACGAAATACTAAATTAATTTAAGGGACTTTGAAACTAATTATGCCTTTATTTTCTTGGCTTAAAAAATCGTCTGATTCCCGTAAATTGGCTTGTTTTTTATTTTCATCCAAGTATCTTTTTTTCAGAAAATTATTCCAGAATGTTAAAATCTGTTTTGATTTTAACCTCTAAAGTTAAAATCCGAAAAAATCTGAAAGAAAATCCGCAATAAACTTCCTGCAGATTTTAATTTTAGAGACTAAAACCAAAAGGATTTTAACATTCAAAAATTATTTTCTGAAGAAAAAAAAAACCAGGGGCGAAAAAACCTAAAACATTCCAACGTCTAGAGACCAAAAGACTATTTAAGCTTTTATTTTTTTAGCACAATTAATTTGAAAAAATATATAAAAAAAATTATTTATATTCTTTTTGTTAGAAAAAATATTTATTAGACCATTTTCAATAAATATAAAGTTGAAATTTTTAAGTTAACCTAGAATTACAATATTTTTAATAAGCATCAAGATGATTTGATAAGGGCTATAACAATGAAAAAGCATGGAGATGGAGTTAGATAAAGCTTTTAGATTGAATGGATCCAGGTTGGAATCATGAACATATCACTTTCTTTATAGTAATTAAAACGCTCTTGATTGTCTTAGAGTTTCTATGCAAAAAAATTTAGGATAATTCAGCCTATACTCAATTTTGCATAAGACGGATGAAAACTCAAATGTAGACAATATAATCTGGAATTTTTCTAAAGAGGTTATGTGTTTTTGTGATGTGATTTATGAATTCAGAATGACTTATTTACAGGTTATGCTTGTGTTGTTTCAAAAGGTTGTGACCCTTGACGAAACAATATCCTTTCAGCAAAACTTTTACCAAAAGTTATGTTGTTTTGCCTACAACAATGTTTTTCAATAGTTGTATATTTTCATTTTGCAACACTTCACAAAGTGTTACATGTTTTTGAATTCAAAATTCAAACTCAAATAATGAACAAAACAAGAGTAACATCCATCCACCACATGTCGAGCGAAGGTTAACCCTTTGAGCGTCGTCATATAACATTGCGAGTAGCTCGATTTCTCTAATAAGTTGTGCCTAAATGCTCAAGTTCCGCCTACAAGCCTCCACTAGCGCCTCTACGTCCATACCCTCAGATCCTTTTGTTGAGTTAATGAACATAAATCTTTATAAATATTTTTAATGTAAGTGATACTTTCTATGTGGGACTACTTCCCAAGTATTTATTAGCATTTACTCACATCCATTTTTCTTGTCATTTTGGAACATACCCATGGACATTTGTTGTTTATAAATTACAAAAATTCTCCACTTGTTCTAATAATGACAAGACCAATTTCAAAAAATAGAAACAAAGAATATTAATACAATTAAGTATCTTTCAATTTAAACCTAACCTTAGTACGAATATGTAAAGTCTAGTCAAAATGTTAGGTAGCAAAGCTTTGAATTGTTATCCCTTGTGATTATACCAATGTTACTTTACACACACTCATGAGAGAAACTCCAATTCTCATTTTGAGACAACGTCATCTCAAAATTCATATAGGAAAAGTTCACTTTGTATCTATTTCTTGAGATACATATCCTTGATATAGAACTTCATTAAGAGTTTGAAAAACTCAACCATCAATATGTAATAGTCAACTTTATTACAAAATGTTGCACAAACATTCAAATCAACAACTTTTTGTTACCCATTGAATCTTAGGTTAAGGTTTCTTAACTTCAGATTGGGTTGCTACCATTATCGAAACCCTTATTCAAGGAGTTTTAATCTTATACCTCTCGAGGTAGACTTTACTAAATCTCTGACCAGTGGCTTAGTAAACGAATCAGCTAAATTGTAGTTTATTCGTATATATGTCAGTGAAATGATCACATCCTTAATTAATTTTCTCATAAAACAATGTCTAAGACCTATGTGCCTAGACTTTCCATTATATACTTCACTGAATGCTCTTGCTAGGGTGGCTTGGCTATCATAATGTATCAATACTTCTGAAACATTGTCTTTAGCCAATGGAACTTTCAACATAAGATCTCTTAACCATTATGCTTCTTGAATAGTGGAAGCAAGAGCCACAAACTTTGATCCCATGGTCGAAAGAGTAATGCATATTTGTTTCTTGCTCTTCCAAGAAATCGCACCTCCAGCTAATGTAAATATTCACCTAGTTGTAGATTTAAAATCTCTAACACTCGGTATCCAACTCGCAAGGATATATCATTCTAGTATAGAAGGAAACCTACCATAACGATGACCAATATTTTTAGTCTCTAAAAGGTGTTCACCGTGAAAATTAGCAAACAAACGATGGCCTAACAAATCGAGAAAGATCTGTGTTACTTGCAGGATCGACCACACAAATTCTAGGACATGTGCTAATTGGTCTTTTAAATAAAGTGAATGAAAATTATGAACACTTCGAAGAGTTCTATGATAAGACAACTTATTTCAAGTATGAATGAATTTAAGTAACGACAAAAGGAAGTAAAATATGGATAAATAACAAGGATAATAACTTGCTAGAGAAAAATAAACTTTTAAATAAAAGAAGTGTTAAATTGCATTGAAATAAAAACTGGTGTTTCGTCAACGTACATTCTCACGACTCGTTTCTCTCAATCACACGAATACTTAGAGTAAATGGAGATTGTGTACATAATTGAACACACACATCTTAATACTAAGATCTGCTATTTATAACCATCGAACATAACCGCCATTAACGGCTAACAAATAAAATCAAGACAAGTGTCACTACGCATGCCTTCGAACCACCAGGATGCTCCACGTGCCTTTCTCAAAAACGAAATTTATCTCTTTTATTTGAATTCAAATGAAAACTCGTTGAAATGCCCTAAAACAATGCTTCGGTCGAATTAGGTCTTCCAACTACTGAGGAATGTCTCTAAGTCCCTAACATATAATCTTCTGACGAAAACCCGTCTTCGACTCTTATTCCATAAAACATAGTTTTAGTCGAAGTCATTAGATTTCCCCAGGAAACTCTATTTATTATTTTTAACTCTATTCAGGCGTCAAAATTAGGAGCCAACAAATTGCCCCCCAAAAATGTCATTTTCGACATCAATGAAGAACAAGACATTTTTTTGATAGTATCATTCAATGCCTCAAATAATTCTTGCATGTCTCTTACTATTCCAAGGATCTATGACGTCAGACTCATCATGGCATTTTCTGCAACACGTCTCCTCAAAGCACGCCATTACCCCTAGCCATCATCACAATCCCTAGATACTAGGAAGTCGTGCACTAGGCACTACTAACCACGTTTTTCAAACGGTCGTTGTGGGACACGTTCCCCACTAACTTTCAGCTCTTTAATGCTGATTTGAGACCTTTTGATCTTCCACAAGCCTATAAATTTCTTGAAACTTACTTGTTGCAACTTTTACGCTCTCAGAAATTTTCAAACAACTTTTTGGTTTCTTCATTTCCAAACTTCTAACCACAAACCCAGATTTTCCAGAAAAATCTCTGTTGCACCCCAAAATTTGACCAACATTTATTTGTTCATTGAATGTTTGAAAGTTGATACCTTCATCAGAAAGTTCAAGGGATCCCCAGAGAAGTGGTTTGAAACCAGGGTTGTGTGCTTCACAGTTTGAGAGTTGTGGGTACCCCTCAGATGATTCTGAGACTTTGAGAAGGAACTTGATGTTTTGAGAAAGCTTATGAGATGCCTTGATAGCCTTCATGAAGCCCAGAGAAGTCATTGTGCAAGAATTCAGAAGATTCAGCCATGAATGGTAGAATTAGGGTTTTGACTAGGTCAACCCTAGGATAACTGAAGATTTGGAGAAGGTTGAGACCTAATCCAAGGTCCATGAGATCATGGAATGATGCATAGAGATGTTATAAAGATGATTCCTAGACCAACTCATCATGATTGAAGAGTTTGTGAAGTTTTGAGTTAGGGTTCCCAAGGATTATCAGTGGAAAAACCCTAATTTGATCCCTATCTTCCAGGCAGTTTTAGCTCTAGATGTGATTGTTATCTCATCTTCCCCACAACATGAATGTTGTAGAACTTGTTCTTAGCTTTAATTTGAGTGGTGGAAGTCCTTGATAGGAGTTACAGAGCTCAAGTTATGGTTTTGACAAATTACAGGTCAGCAGAAGTGTGTGAATCTGGGTCCTTGAAAGTCACCCAACTTGCAGACAACTTTTGCCCTAGTAGGTTGATTCCTATGACTTCTTGGTCAACATGAATGTTGAAGAGGATCTTCTTAGCTTTAATTTGAGTGGTAGAAGTCCTTGATTGGATTTGTGGAACTCAAGTTATGGTTTGAACAAGGCAGGGGTATTTTGGTCATTTGTCAGTTATAGGTCATTTTAACCAATGCCTAAAACTCCTATTTCCAAGCCTCAAATGGAAAAACTTAAAACATGAAAGTTGCTCAAAATGTGATTTTAAGTCTAGAAAGAAGGTCACAAATTGTTGAAAAAGCTCATAGCACAAGATTCCATGATTGGTCAAAAATGAACTAAAAATGACTTATAACTTTGAAAAGTTGAAATGGAAAAGTGTTTTGGAAGATCCACAAATCCAAAATAGGTCATCCAATATATCATTTTGATTGGAAAAAACATTTTGAGAATATTGGTTTAAATAGAATTTTCATTTGAGGCTTAAAAAATGGACTTCCTTTGGAAATTTCTTACTTGCATAAGAAGGCAATGTTGAAAAACCCTACATAAGCAACAAATGCAC